GCTGTGGCTCAGAGGTGTGAGGCAGCATGGAGTGGAGAGGAAGCATGGACGTCTACCAGCAGAGGGTTGAGGAGGAACAGATCTACGGAGCCCCACCTCCCGGGTCTTGGGTGAACTCTGTCCTGTAGGCAGCAAGGAGTGGAGAGGTCAGGTCGGCCTTTGGAAAGCTGACGCCAGCGAGCCTGAAGCGATGAGTCTGAGCCTCTGTGGAGTCATTCCGATGAGAGCTGGTGTTGTCTCAACAAAGCCAGGGGCTGAAGGGACAGAGAGGAGAGGTCATGAATACAGAGCTGACAGAACTTGATGTGGGTGGTGAGGAGAGAAGCCTGAGGTGCCACTCCAGAGGCAGCGGGACCTGAGGGGACATGACCTGGGACGTGACCCAGGCAGAGGTGCTTGAGGGAGTGGCAGATCTGTGAGGCTGGGCCTCAGTTTCCCCATCTGTAAAATGAGGAGTGTGGGCTGGGCCACCTCTACGATTCACTGGCATGGGATGTGGGTGTGCAGGTGAGTCCTATGACCCCTCGCTTTCCACTTCTACTCAAGCCCTTCCCAAAAGTGAGGTCCCACTCTCCTACACGGGGAAAAATTCTTTTGCTCCCGTTAGAAAGATGAGAGAGCTTAAAATTGGGTGGTACTTAAAATCGGCCCCATGAATTTGGGGCTGTTACAAGAAACCCAACTTGTGGGGCCCACGGTCATGGGAGGATAGCAAAGGAGATTCCCCTCGAAGCTCTAAAGAAGTGTGTGACATGGGGGCACCTGGGTGGTTCAGTCAGTGAAGCTTTCGACTCTTGATTTCAGCTCAGGTCATGATCTCAGGGTGGTGAGATTGAGCCCTGCATCAGGCTCCGTGCTGGGCATGGAGCCTGCTTAAGATTCTCTCTCTCCCTCTCCTGCTGCCCTTCCCCCCTTTCCCTTTATTAAAAAAAAAGTGTGCAACATGAAGGAGGATTATTATGCAACCCCATTTTTTAAAAAAGATTTTATTTATTTATTTGACAGATAGAGATCACGAGTAGGCAGAGAAGCCGGTAGAGAGAGGGGGGAAGGGAAGCAGGCTCCCCGCTGAGCAGAGAGCCCGATGTGGGGCTGGATCCCAGGACCCTGGGATCATGACCTGAGCCGAAGGCAGAGGCTTAACGCACTGAGCCACCCAGGTGCCCCACGAAACCCCATTTTTAATAAGAAAGGACAAAAAAGCCTCTAACATCTTGGAATGACATTTTATGCTTGCAGAGAACATTATTTTCTTAAAGAGCTTTCACAACTGTTATTAATCAAGAGACTTCTTCTTGAGGAAATTTTCTTTTTAAAGTAAGGTATTCCTTCTGTGAGGACTGGGGTCAGCAGGAACACCCCAGGGGGCAGAGGCTGTGTGTATGTTGGAAGGGAGTTTCCTCTGCCTTCTTTCTTCCTGGGACTTCTACGAGGTGTCACCAGGGGGAGCCAAAGACCCCAGAGGACGGCGGTCGTGCCAGCCTGCCCAGCTTCCCCACAGGGCAGAGAGGATGGGGATGGCAGGGAGGACGTGGGCAGCTGGATTCACTCCACCAAACCCCATCATGTAGACAAAGAATCTTTAACCCCTCCCTGGAGTGATGCGAATTCTTGGTTAAGTTATATCTGTCTTGTTTCTTTGTTCATTCGTTCAACAATCATTTCCTAGGCCCCGTGGGGGGTGGGGGGGTAAGCGCTATGGCCCCAGATGCAGATGGGGTGTGAGCCCCGCCTTCAGAAACCCCCAGTTTGGGAAGAGGCAGACGGGAAACCCAAGGTGAGTCCGACTCTGAGAGGGCAGCCCCCAGGTGTGTGGGAGCTCAGGGGAGGCCCTATGCCTGGCAAGGGGACAGGATGAGGGCGTGTGCAGAGAAGGGGTGAGCTTTGTGGAGAAGAACATGAAGGGCTCCTGGCAGAGGCAAAGGTTCAGGGGTGTGAGAGCAGGATGTATGTGGCGTCCTCCTCCCCCGTGGTTGCACGAGGCTGGGACGGCTGCCAGTGCCTTGTTAGCTGCACGGAGCATTGAGGGTTTGCTTGGAAGGTGATAGGGAGCTATGGAGTGTTCCCTCCCAAAGTGACTGTCAGGTTCACCCCTGGGTCTCTCTTCTCCTAGTTCAGTTTCCAGAAGCTCTGAGATGCCCCTTGCGGGAGTCCGGGCATACGTGTTCTCAGCCCACCAGCCAGGTCCACCTCACAGATGCTGCCATCTCTGTGGGCAGCTTTCCCCCATGTCACTACCACTCAGGCGCAGGGCTTTACAGTTGGCAAGGTACTCCAAGAACACTCACTTCTCGGTCCCCACCTTCTTCAGTGGACCTTGGCACATTCTCTTGACCACCAGGAAAATCTTCTCATACTTTGTAGCCAACTCTAGGGTCTAGGATGCCTCCCAAACCACCCCAGGAGCAGAAGTAAGCACCTGTCTCTCTGTCGCTATCTTTAGCGGGTTTGTGGGGACTTACACGTGAGTATCTTCTCCATCCCCGTCCCCACTCCGGGGCTCCTCTGCACAGATCGCAGTCTTCTGGAAGGTATCACCTTTTGTTCATCTTCTCACCTTGCAGGATGCAGGCTGGAGACAAGAACTTGGGATGGGTGAGAGCTGCCCTCAGATTGTGGGGGTCACAATCTGAAAAGATTGTGCATCCGTTCCCTCCTTGATCTAGGGGGACAGAGCCTGCTGCTGTCAAGCTTGGAAGACACCTGGCCAAGGAACAGGTATTCAAAAGGCATTGTTTATGGTCAGTTAAAGTTCCCAAAAAGGACCTACCTCATCGTCAAACTCACATTGCTTGCCCTTGTCACTGATGCACAAGACAATGTGTGTTTCTAAGGGCGCTTTCTCCCCCTCAAAACCCAAAACCACACATTTGGGAGGAGGACAAAATAAAGCCTATAAAGATAAGGGGGTCTTTCCAAATTAAACCACCAGTTAGGACTGACCATGCAGAGGGAAAGTCTTAGAGGAGGCAGAGAGAAGCACCTCCCTCCCATCCTGGACAGCCATGGCTGACCCTTTCCTGTCCCCCCATGTTGGGGACCCTTTGCCTCAGCCACCAGGCCAGTGCCATGAGCTATTTGTGATAGGAAGTCAGGTTGGGAGTAAGGGTGTCTGGATGCAGATTTAACTTTCCAGAATAGCAGTGATTGTCTACAGAAGGCCTTGTGAGTGTGTGTCCATGCATGCGTGTGTGTGTGTGTGTGAGAGAGAGAGAGAGAGAGAGAGAGAGAGAGAACATGTGTCTGTATGCCTGAGGATGTGTGTTGGGAGGGGTGTGTGTGTGTGTGCGCGCGCGCGTGCGCTCCCGTGTGTGTTGGGGGCAGGGAAGGGAGCTGGTACGGAAAGGAAAGCTAGGCGCAGACCCAGGCGGGCAGAGTGGACAAAAAGAGGAAAGTCTTGTCTTTGAGTCGGGCCTGGAGAGCAGGAGAAGAAAAAAGGAGCTCTTATTGGTGGTTGTCAAGGAGATGGGCCTTGGGGTTTGCTGAACTTTCTTCCCTTAAAGCGTCCTGCCTGGGGCTGAGAGGGGCCATTTATTTCCAGCTGTGCCTCC